ATATCCATAATATAAAATAAAAAAATTGTAAATTGTAAAAATTCTGTAACAATACCACACACCTTATATAAGACTATAATCCTTAAACATATTTCTCCCAGAATGCAAAGCTCCAGAGTGTGAGAGGTGTTTCAATAAAGACTTCTGCACCAAGTGCAAGGGAGGATATCTGCTCTTCAAAGGCAAATGCTTCAAAAACTGTCCAGAGGGCACATTTCCTCAGTCCACAGACTGTGTTGGTAAGCACTTTACTCGCTTTCAGACCTTTTTTATGGGTAGATGCCATTAAACTCTCATTACCATACTGAAAGAAACCTATCAGTCATGTTTTATTTGAAACAACTACATCAAGATGTTTTCTCATGTGTGGCAATGAAAAGCAGCAGATATGGACTTGTATTTGGGTTGCAAGTATGGGTTGCATTTACCAGGGTATTTACATGCCATTAACTTGATGTTGCGCAAATACTTGCTTACTCACACAGTAGCTTTGACACAAAAGATTAAGTCAAGTCAAGTCAAATTACATGTATTTATAGTGCTTTATACAATACAGACTCTTTAAAAGCTGTGGAAGCAATAAAAAACGATTTCAAAAAACTAACTGCAACTTTTTATTTCATAATTCAAAAAAAAAAAAAAAAAAAACACAATTCATTTTCCCCCTCACAATTCTGAGTTTGTAACTCACATTTAAACCTTTTTTCCTCAGAATTCTGAGTTTACATTAAACTTTTTTTCCAGACATGGACTAAAAAATAAAAAAAAGGTAATAGTAATGGAGCGTAGCGTTAGTTCTGGCAGGTCACGTTAGTCAAGCGTGCATCAGCTGACACTCGTCTACCTATAGGGACACGACGGCAATCATAATTCCCTTTATAAGGTTCTTTCAGTCATTATTCAGCAGCTATCGCTTTGCTCAGGAGCTAATCACCCACCTCCATCCCCAACTCCTCCTCTCGTCCAGTCAGGACTCGGCATTGGATATTTCTCATTGAGTCAGACCACTGAATTATGTTGTCATATAAAATAATCACTTAGAACATTAATGATATCTGCTACATTAATCATTAATGTTGGCTCTGTTCTGTTTACCCTAGGGGGGTTATTAATGCTCTCCCTGCTCCTTTCCATGCTAGGCTGCATGGATGGGCAAGGAGTGTTAGCCCAGAACAGAACCATACCCCCAACCTAAAATGCATGCTAATTGTAAGTTATCTTTGACGATAGGGGTCCTGACAGAATTTTTTTAATCTCACAATTCTGACTGTTTTTCATGCAATTGCAAGTTTATATCGCACAATTCCAACTTTATATTTATAATTATGTATTGATTAAAAAGTTGCAATTACATTTATATTTTTTTATCCCATGGTGGAATTAAGCTTCCATGCAAACCTGCTTCACAGTAATAAAAATGAAAATAGCAATATTAATGTTGCACAGTTATTCATTCATAAAACTAATGCAATTTCAGCAGTAAAATAGCCCTACAGAAAACAATAGTGTTATTATTCAGCTCAAGTCAGTTCAGTGTTGATTTAGTTCAGTTCAGTAGTGTTGATTTTGCAGAGTTCATCAATTAGGAAAATAAAGATCAGGAATAGCTCGCCAAAAAAGGAAAACTGTCAGTCAAAATAAAATCTATTTTGCAGAATAAGTATTCTTTATCTGTTTGTACTCCAGAAGGCTGTGTGCTCAGTATTTTGGGGTTTTGGGGTGAATGGAGCCCATGTCAGCACAACGGCCAAAAGTGTGGTGTCAGATGGGGGCAGCAGAGCAGGACCCGTGAGCTGTCCAGAAGCACGCCTGAAGAGACAGAAACACTCTGCCCACATCAGACTGAGAGCAGAAAGTGCCGGATGAAGAAAAAGTGTCCAAAAGGTGATTCATATTTTGAAATGTTCATGCCAACTGCAGAATAAGCCCCACTTTTAGCTGATCCTCTTTAAACCCTCTCTTGTTTCCACATCAAGCCTCTTTAGCATTTTTTTTGTAGCCACTCACACTACACTCACATTAACTGAAACACAAGATCCAAACATTGACACTATAGAGAGTTAAAATGGTTCAATGACTTTGTGTTTTGTTTTCATTTGATGATCTACTGGAAATCATTTGTTTGCAGCAATCTTCATTATCGCAGGCAGATCAAATGTCTGATTATATTGTATTATATTATATTATATTATATTATATTATATTATATTATATTATATTATATTATATTTACAAATTATTTTCAGCCTTGATAATAATGATAATAATAAATGTTTCTTGAGCAGAAAATCAGCCAATTCGAATTATTTCCGAAGGATCATGTGACACTGAAGCCTGAGTAATGATGCTGAAAATTTAGCATTGCATCACAGGAATAAATTACATTTTAAAATATGTTAAAAAAGAAAACAGTTATTTTAAATTAGAATAATATTTCACATCATTACAGTTTTTAGTGTATTTTTTAATCAAATAAATACAGCTTTAGAGAGCAGGAATTCTTACCAGCCCCAAACATTTAAAAGGTAGTGTATATAATATAATACCAGAGACAAATCTTAGTGTAGCAGAATTCAACAGAAAGTCTACTCAATTTCTACTGTTACTATCCACATCAGATGTTCTCCATCAGTACCATTGTGGTTTATCTCTGAAGTTGACACCTCAAAGACTTACTTATGGTGTGACCAATGAGAACCCGATGATTTAATTTAGTCCTAGGATGTCCTCTAGATTAACACAAGATCATTTCCTTTCTTCTCAAGTTTCTTGGTCTTCAAGTGTAACCCTGAGAGCTAATGAAAGTCAGGCAGCGCATCTCAGAACGGCTCACAGCAGAAGATTTGCCAGTGTTTTCTGTTATGACCCCCAGGTGACCCAAACTCACCTACCTAAATCCTAACACACAAACCTCTGATCTTAACATGGAGATTGATGTTGGTTTTAGTATTAAAGGGTTGGGCGGTGGCCGCTGTGGGCCTAAAACAGATGATTCAGGGATCTAAATATCAAATTTTAGTGCTTTGTGTGTGCATAATCTGAGAAAATGAAAAAGTTAGGAAGCTTTAATCACAGCAGGTAAAACGCAGGGCAGAGAATATCAACAGATAAAAATGACTGGAGAGAACCAAGAGGAGAAAAACAGGAAAAATGATGGCGAAAGTGGCATTCTTGCCAAGCCGTGGTGTTTTCCAGACCACAGACCCCATTCCTTAGGCTATAATAACCGTTTACTCCAGTTTTATGATGCTCTTATTATGTCTCCTTTAAAAAGACAAACATGGATTATGATTTGGTTTTAGCTAACAAAAATGTTGCATAAATACACTTAAGCACCCACCTCTGCACAGTATTTGTTCCGCTTTTGCGCCAGAATATTTTTTTTGTCTCTTTTCTGAGGACGACAGTACATACCACCCTGAAGCTCCTCTGTTGCTGATTTTGAATCTTAAAGTCAAACCAGATATGAACATCTGAAGTACTGTAAGGAACTCAATGAAGCATTCTCAGGTTATGAGCTGCCCATTGCATGACAGTGAGAAATTGACCACTAACACAAAAAATACAAAAATAAATCTAAATCCTTGTTTCAGCACGTTGAATTAAAACTAAGGCATTGAAAGTCAACAGCTCCCTTTTATATAAATAAATAAATGAGGCTTTTTAAATCAGTACTGCATTTTGTTTTATGTTGATATTTTGTTGCACTGTACTGTTTAATTTTTTACAGAATTTAATTTAATTAAATTTTATGTCAGGAGTGCCGCTCAAATGTTCACGCAAAGAAAGAAGGCGCAACTTTTATTCTCGCTGTAGTATTGTTGCCGCTGCCGCCATGTCGTGAAGACGCTGTGTGCTTCTTTGTGAAAGCGAAACTACTTTGTTTGGCCTTCCAAAAGATGACAATATCCGCTTCGTCATGCCTGGAGCTGATCTGGGCTGGTTGCTGAGGAAATACTACAACTTTGCGCTGTGGATCGCCAGATCGGCTTTCACCGTGGACGAAGCGGAGTCCAGTCCGGGGTCGTCACATGTGGTTGCAGCAAGCCCACCCGCCGCCGCTCACTCAAGCCGGCCGCCGCTCACTTTAGCCCGCCGTGTGTGATGCTGTGTTTCGTTGTGAAAGCGAAACTACTTTTTTTGGCCTTCCAAAAGAGGACACGACTAGAAATCAGTTCAACCCAAGTATTCAGATGTGTGCAGCACATTTTATGTATTTTTATGTGTTTCCTGACTGTTTCCTGATCCTGGTAGAGTAGACTACAATGCCGGCTGTTCTGACTCACAGACTGTAAGTACGTTTTTTATATTTAAAGAATTTTGCCACTGACGATTCAAATGCGAGTTTTGAGCAGTGTAGAGTAGTATTTGTAGTTTGTCATTTCTCCGATCACAAATGCAGACATGGTTTTATGTTTACGCAGCGCGATTCAATGCAACGCGTAAAAAGACAGTATAAGTCATTATAATCCTTATTATTTATAATGGGTTTTAATGTTTTTGTCTCATTGCTCCGGCCCGACGGCATCACAGTATGGTAGGGGCGTAACATTTCCGTCACACGCTTGAGGTATTCAGCCAATCACAACGCACTGGATAGCTGGCCAATCACATCTCGCTTTTCAGACCGATGAGCTTTGTAAAAATCGACGCGTTTCAGAAAGGCGGGGCATAGAGGAGAAACAATAATGTATAGTATGTTGAAAATAATGTGTTTTTTGAACCTTAAACCACATAAACACATTTCATTACACCAAATACACAAAATAATGTTCTTTTTAGCAACATCATATGACCCCTTTAATGCTGTACATCAATAATAAAGGACATATATGGTTTTACTGCCTACATTATTTAACTTGAATATGATTCACTGTTTTATATGGTTTTATGGTTTTATCTTGACAGATAAAAAGAACAATGTAAGGAGAGAAGAAAGAAGAAATGCACAGAAAATGCTGAAGCTCTTTGGGAACAAAACTGTCACAGAACCTCCATGGCAAATGTAAAAAAAAAAAAAAATATATATATATATATATATATAGTTAATATATAGTAAATATTTTTTTATTCATTTATTTTTTAAACAGTAAATACATTTTCCCTAGATTTTACATTTAAAATATTTTACAAATATTATTATATTAAATAATAAAGTTTAAACTTTTTAAAAATAATATAACTTTTTTTAAATACTATAGTTTAGTTTTAAATCATTTTTCTCATATTTTACTCCAAAACATTTTGGTGGGTCTTGAGGCTATGCCTCACTAGATGGTTCCTTGCGTGTAAACATTCAGGAAACCCTGGAGTCAATAGTCCTACCCTCAGGCTTATTGTGGACCATACTGTGGACGTCCTGGAGCTGAAAAGGTCCATTCAGTGCTGGTTCTCCCAAGGGAAGCTCTTTGACCGTGGGGGGCCTGGGCCTCCAAACGCAGGCCTGCTATTGTCCATCTGGCCTCTGATTGGTTTGAACTACTGTACTTCACAAGCGCAAGACCTAAAGACCTGACAATTTCTCACTAGCACAGCGGTAGGAAGAACATGCAGCCATAAACACAATGCCTTTGTTTTTCAGATCCAGGACTTGGCAATCCGCTGCATCCAGAAAAACATCAAGAAGAACCGGGGTGTGAAAGGCTGGCCATGGTGGAAGCTCTTCACCACCGTCCGTCCTCTCATCGAGGTTCAGCTT